CGGCCCCGGGGCGATGCCAGTGCCTGCACCGAGCAGCGCTGCGAGGCCCAGAGGAGCTGGTGTCCCCCCTGCGCCGGTCCCCAGAGGCCTCCCACCCTCACCTGGGAGATGTCCTGCCCATCGATGCGGATGCAGCCGCCCCACACGTCGTAGAAGCGGAAGAGCAAGCGGATGACGGTGCTCTTCCCTGAGCCCGAAGGTCCCACCTGCACGCCAAGGTAAAGGGACTTGGAGACACCAGAGACTCCCCACTGCAGGAGGCCAGGGGCTGGGCAGGGAAGGGCCAGCCCCGCTGGGCAGGGAAGGGCCAGCCCTGCTGCGGGTCTGTCCTTCCCACCCCCGCACTTCCCAGCCCCTCTTCCCCCATCCCACCCTCCAGCCGTGAACCCACACCCAAGGTCCCGCTCTCACCAGGGCCAGGGTCTGCCCAGGCATCACTGAGAAGGAGACATCCTGCAGGATTTCTTTCCTGGGAGAGGGAGATGGAGAAGGGCTCAGGGCCACCTCCCCTGCCCCACGTCCCTGTGCCAGGCCCCATAGCTCGACTTGTCCCACCCTGTCACCCCATGCCCGCTGTCCCATACCCATCCATGTAGCTGAAATGCACATTCTCAAACTCGATCCGCCCGGCCTCCAAGCGCAAGTCGCCGGCGTTCACCACATCCTTCACCTGCCGGAGGGTGAGACACGGCCTCAGAGCCAGCCCCTCCCCAAGGCAGGACCACGGGGCCGTGCCAGGGAGCAGGGTCCGGGAAGGTGGCACCCACCTCCTGCTCCTCATGGAAGAGCTCAAACATGTTCTCCATGTCCACGAAGGAGTTCTGGATCATCCTGGAAAGGGGCGAAGACCAGAGGGAAGGGTGAAGGGTTTTTGGGAGTACATCCTGACCCAGGCGCCCATGGGGAGGGGGACGCCAGGAACCCTAACAGCTCCCAGCATTACCTGTAGTAAGTCCCGAACCAGTTGAGCGGCGTGTAGAGCTGGATGATGTAGGTGCCGAAGAGGACAAAGTCTCCCACCTGGAAGGGATGAGGAGAGGTGCCCGTCACCACCAGCCCCGGGGCCCCACCCCGGGCAGAGGCTGCCCAGGCTGGCCCCAGCCTTACCTGCAGCTTGTTTTCGGTGACAAAGTAGGCACAGACCAGGGACCCCGCCAGCAGCCCCAGGCCAATGACCAGGTTCTGGGTCTGGTTGAGGAGGCCCAGCGAGGCGCTGACCTTCCACTCCGAGACCTGGAAGAGGCAAGGTCCTTCGGGATGCTGCCGCCTCCAAACCAGACCCACGGTGAGCTCCATCCTCCCCGCAGGTGCCCGTGAGGCTTGGCTCCTTCTCCCCCAACTCCCCCGCTGGTGCTGAGCACCCCGTACCTGGTACTTGACAATGGCATCATTAAAGCGGTTCACCTCGTAGCTCTCCGCATTGTAGTACTTCACCTGTAGGACGCAGAGCCGGGGTCAGCGCCTAGATCAGCCCCTCAGTGCCAGGCAATGCCCAGGAACCCCCCACTGCCTACGGTACCGTCTCAAAATTGAGGAGCGAGTCCACAGCCC